GTACGGCGAGTTCCGTTCGTGTCTATCGTGTAGAATAGTAATATAATCGTACATAATCCTCGTGTCAAGACGTGCGCGGCGTTGCGCGAAAGTCCGAGGAAATTGCGAAACCGAATTGAATGGGAAATTGGACCGAGTGTGTGTAGAATTGAATTCGTCTGTAGATCGGCGATTCTCGACGGGACAATCCTCACGGATCGAAGTTGCAAGGTTTCGTGTGATCGATCGTTGTCGCGATTGGACTCACCGGTGGTCATCCGAATCGTGGATTTCTTAGCAGGGTTCGATTTCCTTAGGGTCAACGGCGACACTTGACTACCGCCGCCGCTTGCGGCCAGCGACTCACTTCTCTAAAAATATCGTTTCGAAAGACCGCGTGCGCGAGGACGTCGAAGCCTTCACTTGGGATCACGCGCATGCGCGATCTCCACTTCCGTGTGGAGGCCAGCCTCTGATCTAGGGAGTCGATGCCAATGGTTCGGTAAACTTCCTGGATCGCGGGGGTGTTTGGCTGTCGGACCCCGAGGAGACGTTAAATTCGACGCTCGAACGACGTCTAATTTCGAGACCGTGAATAGGTGTAAATGGACGAGGCTCTTTAAGTTCGGTTCTATTTCTGGTATGGAAATGACGGTGATTTTGTAAGTTAGTTATCGCTGGTATCGACTTGGAATTATGCTTGCAACTGGGACGAGGTTTTTGTAATTATTAGCAATGGATTCTGGTTTTAATTAGGCATATTAAGGCATAGGTAGAATTTATTGTAGGAATATTAAAAATGCGGTAGGATGAGAGAAAAGGAAATTCAAGAATTTTTAGGATTTTGTGTATCAGTCGTTTGTTATTAATTGTAATAGTTATTGCAGATGGTCAGCTTCGAAGGAATTCCTTTCTGTCCTTATACACCTTTGAAAGCTTTGAAATTTTTTGTTTTTTAATATGATAACGCTATGGTGAAAGAATCATCGTCTGTTTGGTTAATTTGTAGAATTTGTGGTGACGAAGCAGTTATGGCAGGTGATACTTACAGCAGCACTTTGTTTCCGCCAGAAGAAAGAGAAATATGTAAATGGATGCTGAGGACGATTAATACGGCCGAAAATACAGAAATGCGTATTAGAATAAGTGCGATGGTTCGTTTGGCGAATATCCTTGCGTCGTAAATTTGCGACAGGCACCATGACGCCTGTACAGAGAGACATGGTGGAAGGAGAAAACGCTTTCCAACCTAACAATAGCGCCGCTCCTACTCTATATTTAGTCAGTTTTTCGAATGGTTCGACGTAGCGGTACACGTGCTCCGTGGGCAGAAGCGCCTTGGCTTCTTGTACGACGACACCTCTCTGTCACCGTGACGTGCAGATGGATAAAATAATTAATAAGCCGTTTAACCAGAGTTCCGAGTGTCGTTGAAGGAATTTCCACGACGATTTTATGAATGAACGCTTCGGTGCGAGTCAACGCGCTTCAAAGCACAGTTATGTGATTTGGAAGTATGTACCAGGCAGGATATATCCTTGAGAAATGGAAAATTCGACAATTTGGGAATTTAGATACTTGAAAATTTGACAATTTTAATTTTTCAATGTTTGAATATTTAGAAATTTGGGAATTTGAGAATTTGAGAGTTTGAGAATTTGAGAAATTTAATATTTGAATAGTCAGAAATTTGGGAATTTGAGACTTTGAGAATTTAAGAATTTGAGAGTTTGAGAATTTAAGAATTTTAATATTTGAATATTCAAAAATTTGGGAATTTGAGACTTTGAGAATTTAAGAATTTGAGAGTTTGAGAATTTAAGAATTTTAATATTTGAATATTTAGAAATTTGGAAATTTGGGAATTTAGAAATATGAAAATTTAAATATTCGAATATTTAAAAATTTGGATAGATTCTATTATTTCCCGACTAATAATGAAACGTTAGCTCCAACTTCGTTATCTCGACTAATTCTAAGCGACTTTTATCGTGCCTTCGCATTATAATGTGTATTCTAGGTAAGAATAATACGAGAAACGAGTCACGGTAAAATTCACTGTCCAGATAAATGCGTAGGAGTGTTTATTGTCATATGAAATGCATTTGTAATGGTGTATTTTTACGTGAAGTTTCAAGTATCGTAGTTTCATTAGAATTGATTTATTAAAGAATTAAATAGTAAAAAAAAAATCACGATCGTCTTAAAGATCGAGTAAATTATTATTTACATCGTGTTTTCGATAGCGCCAGCCAACTTCTTGATACTTGCTAGATAGATTAAGGTGGCAAAGAAGACAGGTTTCGCAAGTGAACATTTGTTTTTCAGTATACGCTTAATTTTGTGCGTTAGCATCTGTAACATATATTTTCAACGGTGACTCATGCAATGATACCTTTGTTTTCTTAGAATGTAAGACAATCGAGGCCTCTTCTATCGGGACGAATACGCCAAACGATGAATAACTCGTTTATGTTTAAGAATTCGTTCAGAGCTTCACGCATGTGAAATGTAATAATTTCCAATTTTCCAATTTAAAAATTATCAATCATTCAAATTTCCAAATTTTCAGATTTTTAAACATTCAAATTTTCAAACCTTCGAATTCTCTAATTTTCAATGACTCAAATTTTCAAATTTTCAGATTTTTAAACATTCAAATTCTCAAACCTTCGAATTTCCTAATTTTTAGGTTCTCAAATTATAAAATTTCAAATTTTCAGTGACATATCCCTCTCAATACTTCCAAATCACATTTTTACTCAAGCGTCCACGCATTTCTGCACTGAACCTTTGAGAAACATCGAAATGACAAACGACATTCCAAAGAACCCACAGCAATTCAAAGTATCCAGTTTTCCGAAGTTCTTTTATCGTCGTCAATATTGTTTTTCACGTGTTCTATCTTGTCCTCGACATGGTTAGCCTCTTCGATTTTACAGGTGCCTCTGCATACATAATCTTCTCGTTCTTCTGTCGCGCCCGTGGCCTCTTTCGTTACGTAAGAGCCGCTGGAATTATTAAAGGATACGTTGCTCGATTTGTAATCTCCAAGTTCAACATATTCCTTATCATTGATTCATGCGGAAAACGCGAGAAGTAGCATTGTACGTATCGAAAGACACGTGGATAGAAATGGATTTTAGGGCTAAAAGACAGTAAAGACTCTCTGTTCAATTTATTGTAAGGAATTGTTTGTAATTTTTTGAAATTTTCTCCGTGGAAAAACATTAATCACGCAGATTTTTAACAACACTAAATTGTTTTAACAAGACGTTAAAATAGAGCCCGCTATCATTGATTCCTACAGGAGCCTTTTCATGTAGCGATCACTACAGTGCCATAAATTAATAAACAAAAGAATTGCATAATTTCACTTTGCGCGCCAATTTTAAGAGCGCACGGTTTTAAAAAATTCATTTATTTGTTCGTAAAACAAGGAATGTTTTACTTTATTATTCTATCCAAAAGCATTGAAGTATATATTATAGAAAGCAACAAATTTGTTTTGAAAGATAATCATTTCTTTTTTATTATTTCCCCACAACTTTTAATCGAAGTTAACTAATAGTAGCGATAACGATCATGTAAGTCATTTCAGTAATTGAAACTCGATAGTAGGATGTTTAAATTATGATAAAATAGACGTACAATAAAAAAAAAAAGTTGTTTGCACGATTTTTGCATATGCCATCATCAATCGGAAAGAATGAAACAGCAGCTGCCATCTGGCAGCAAAGCGTAGGTAATCGTGAAAACTCATATGCATGCCAAGGATTCATAAGTTCGTTATATGTAAATTATTCTACAGATGCTATTCAGTACGTTGCTAATTATAAAAATAAATGGCATTCATTCGTGATAGGACACAAAACACTTGTTATTTTTCTCAATCTTTTATTCGAACAATTGACATTACCGACAATATATAAAAGCATATACATCAATCACTCGCATCTGTTACACGTAACACACTTTAAATATACAAATTACTTAAATAAAATGAAACATTTTAAACTAAAGCACAAGCAAATTAATAATCAAAGTATTCCCTTATTTTTATATAGAATAAACCACACAAATATCGCCTATTAATGAAGAAATACATATACAGCAATCAATACTAACATAAACATATAGTTTTACAAAGAAAATTAAGAAAAAATACTACCGAAAAGTCCATTGAACCCGAACGAAACATTCGAAATCTGCCGCCATTCGGCGAGCTGCGCGCGCATGCGCGGCGTCCGCCAAGTCGCACTCGGATTGGTCGAGAGGCGAGTCGGCTCGCTGGAGTTGACGCGCGTTCAGGTGCCGTACTGATCGCCTCGATGACAAGGCCGCCAGTTACTGTTCGTGCACGAATGCGACGAAACACCCGGGCGTCTTGGCGGGTTTTCGCTCGGAGCTGCGCTCACGAGACCAGCTCGACAACGAGGAAGCGGAGGTGACGTTTCAACGAAGAGGAAACAGTGAACGCGTTGGGTCAGCATCGAAACGAGGGACAAGGACCAGGGACTCGCGTTCGACGTAACAACGCACGAGATACCTGTCGAGCACCTGGGGCTGCATTTTGGTCCAACTTTGGCCGCGCTGATAGGCGGACGATTCGCAGGTGAGTGAGCTCGTGAACGATGCGTCGGCGCGACTAAGCACGCGGTTCTTCTGTCTCGCTTTCTCCTGTGTCACGTTCACGGAAATTCCGTGCTCTCGTGCCTTGTAATTCGTTCCGATACAAAGTCCTGCGTGCTCGATCTAGTACAATAACGTATACGCGTTAATCATCTCTCCGAGTGTAGTCCTTGGCTTCTTAGTTTCTAATTTCCCCGATCGTATATCCCGTCACTGTCACATAAAATCCGATTGATAGAACTCGCGGCCCAGACCGCCTCGATATTGCGTGACAGTTACGGGTTTCGAGTGACCGACGAATATTTGACAGCGAACTGACAGAAATTCGATTAAGCGCGGTGCTCTAGACGCGGATCGTTATCGATGCTGTCCTTTCCCAACGGACTTTCTCGATATGAGTGTATCTCTGCCAAGACGGTTTCTTAAATGATCACGTACACTTTGACGTAGATCAAAGGTGAAACGAGTAAACCTCCCAGTGCTTGTGAAATATTCAGTGAATGGGTTTTATCGAGGTGCTCATTAATGGTCCCTATTTTATCGATCGTTACGTAGACGAGATAGACAAGGGATTGTTGGAATTAGCAAGGAGCGAGGATTGGAATAGCGGCGTCTTTAGGCATGTTCATCGACTTCCTAAGCATACGTAGCGGAAGACCCTCGTTCGCGACCTTGATCGCCGAGTTAGTATAGCGGTATACTCGAGCCGCGCGC